TTTTATTTTTATTTTTTGGGTCCGGTTGTGGGGCCTGAACTCTGGGCCTGGGCGCTGTCCCTCAGCTCTTCAGCTCAAGGCTAGCACTCTACCACTTGAGCCACAGCACCACTTCTGGATTTTTGCTTATATGGTGCTGAGGAATCGAACCCAGGGCCTCTGGCATGCAAGGCATGTGCTCTACCACTGAGCCACCTTCCCAGCCCTCTAAACTCTTTTTATTCAATTCCTACAGACTGAGTAAATCTCAGGAGATGGTGTCCTCAACACAGGGCATCCCACTAGTGGGACAAGGAGTTGCTGGCTCCTGCAGAGCACAGAATGCATGTTCTTTGCATCCTAGAGTACACTTCACAAAGGGCTAAAGAGCAATGATGCCACACTGTTTAATTTCCTTTGGTATCTGATCCACTGAGTCCACATGCTTTATCCTTATGGATTTTTTTTAAACTCTTCTTTCATTTTTAGAACAAGTTTGTTACATCCCACAAAATCTGCAGATGAGGGCTGAGGTATAGGTCAGTAGTAGCGTACTTCCCTAGAATGCATGAAGCCTTGAGTTTGATCCTTAACATTGCTAAATGAATGAATGAGTGAGTGAATGAATGAATGAATAAATGAAATCTATAAGTAAAGTTGGGAATTTAAAATTTGTGATTCTGAATCCTCTGAGTCTGTCAATATGGTAAATCTTTCCATTGACTAGGATCTTCTTTAATGGCTTCCAAAAAAAGTTGTCTGAGTTTATGTACTATAAGCTTGTGTGATATCTTAAAAAATTCATTTTATGGGGCTGGGAAGGTGACTCAGTGGTAGAGCACTTGCCTTGCATGCATGAGGCCCTGGGTTCGATTCCTCAGCACCACATAAGCAAAAAGAAAAAAGCCGGAAGTGGTGCTGTGGCTCAAGTGGTAGAGTGCTAGCCTTGAGCTGAAGAGCTGAGGGACAGCGCCCAGGCCCAGAGTTCAGGCCCCACAACCGGACCCCCCCCAAAAAAATTCATTTTATGATGCTTTTTTTTTTTTGCTATTGCGAGTCAATTTTCCTTTACAGTTGCTGACATTTAGAAATGCAATTGCATGGTATGCAATTAATTCTAGCTACTCAGGAGGCTGAGATCTGAGGATCACATTTCTAAACCAGCCCAAGCAGGACTGTCGGGAAGTGCTCAAGTGGTAGAGCACTAGCCTTGAGCTGAAAAGCTGAGGGACAGCGCCCAGGCCCAGAGTTCTAGCCCAGGACTGAAAAACAACAACAACAAGATATAAAGAAGCTTTATACTATTGTTTCTTCCTTTTTTCTCTTGATACTTGTAAGAAAGTTGATCTAATGTTTAGTGGAGTGGTTGGCTAGTTTTGTTCTTGGGTCTGCTTCCATAGATGGATCAACTTGTAAAAATATATATCAAGCTAGATATGGTGGGCTAGATTATAATACAGCATTTGGGAGGCTGAAAAAGAAGGATCTCATGTTTTAGGTCAGTCTGGGCTGTATAAGGAGACCCCATTTCAACAAACAAACAAGTCAAGAACAAAAGAGCAATTTTTTTTTTGGTAGTGGGGCCTGAACTCTGGGCCTGGGTGCTGTTTCTCAGCTCTTCAGCTCAAGGCTAGAGCTCTACCACTTGAGCCACAGCACCCCTTCCAGCTTTTTCTGCTTATGTGATGCTGAGGAATTGAACCCAGGGCTTCATGCATGCAAGGCAAGCACTCTACCACTGAGCCACGTTCCCAACCCCCAAAAAACAATTTTTTAAAAACCTACATGAATCATGCCACAGTACAGGTTTATACATGCCTTTTTTTTTTTCTTATATTACAGGAGGAAATAAGTCAGTTTTGAAGCTGAGGCAGGACAGAATTTGAGATCAGCCTGGAAACCAAGGCCAAATGCTTAACAAACAGAATAAACAAAACTCCCACAGATGACTACTCCTGCTACAAACTTGAAAAACTCTCAGGGCAGACTTGAGGGTAGAGGGGCACAAGTCAGAGTCTTAGCAGCTTCTATGATAAAAGGAGAGACAATATGAAAGGACAAGGAAGAAGAGTTTGATAACGAAGAAAGAACATTTTAGCATCGGTGTTTTCTGATGATAGCAAGATCACATGGGCAGCTCAATTGATTGCTATTTGAGATAATGAGCTTCCCAGCAATGGAAGTATTCAAGCGATGTGTGGACACATTCTAAGGATGCCAAACTAGACCCTCATCCCCAATGTTAGCTCCTGTCTATTCCAACTTTAAGCAGAGGTTCCAAGGATTGGCCTAATTTTATATCCTACTTTTGACATTATAACAAAGGCAAAAGCTGGCCTTTTGCATATGCTAACAATATTCATAAATACCTATCAGGTCTGATTGAAAAGAGAATGAAAAAGCATATTAGATGGGAAGGAAAAACTGGGAGTGAGGGAAGGGGTGACATTGACCCAAAAGAAATATATTCATTACCTGACTTATGTAACTATAACCCCTCTGTACTTCATCTTTAGAATAACAATTTAAAAAAATATATAAAATGAAAAAAACACATTACAATTCATTTCTTCTGAATAAACACCCAGCAAGTATAGATATGCATTCCACAACTATAAAATAAAATGTAATTCTCCATTCCCAGGCCCTTAAAGTTTACATTGATTTTTGAGATTTCTATGCATGCATCCTATACTATTATAATATTTTCAAATATTTTAAAAAATAGACCAAGTGGTCCAGGCACTCATCGATTTGAAATCCAGTGTTTTAAATATATTTTTTTTAAAAAAACTCTTTTAAAAATAGAATTAACTGCTTCTTGGATAAAGTAAGGAATTTTGAATGAAGTTTTGAAGACTCAAAGACGGGGGATAATTCTGTGATTTCATAATTTCACTTGTTTTATTTTTTTACTCTTTTATTCAACCAAGCTCTTTCTGTCTTGCAAACCTCGTTTGTTGGCAGATAAAAATACATCTACAGAGTCTCCCTGAAGCTGCGCCACCAGCCTCGTGGCCAAGAGCTGCGCCTGGTTTCCTTGTGCCAGCAAGTCTTCCTCCACCAGTTAATCGGGATCAAAGTCTTTTTTTCCGTTCTTAGATGGTTTTTCCCTCCGAGAAAAATGTGGAATTCAGAGCTGAATCCATACAGGGTGAATCCTTGAGGGCAAATCTGGAGCTACGATGAGTCGTGTCTATTTCACAGCCCCAACAGAGCTGTCTGCCCTCCTCCGTGCGCCTTGAGAATACTCTAGCCCAGCCAAGAAATCCGTTACCAGGCTGCGGTGTCCCCAAGGCGGAAGAAGACTGGGGTGGGGGGAAAAAAACCCGCTGTGTGGATTCCAGGGCCTCGTAAGCTAGGTGCGCCACCCCAGGTTACAGGCAAGCGAAGCAGCCGGTTTTGTGAGCTGCGGACGCTGGGACACCCCTGGCCAGGCGCGCCCCGGAGCGCCCCGCAGCTGGCACACTTCTGACCGTCCCCTGGAGGGACGCACGTCCTGGGCGATGGGGCTGTGCGGATTGCTGGGGGCGCACTGCAGCGGGGCAGTGAGAGGGGCTGCAAGGCCCCCAACCCGAGTACAGGCCCCCTTGGAAATTTAAGCTTTCTTTCTTTCTTTTCTTTCTTTCTTTCTTCCTTTCCTTTTCTTCTTTTCTGCCTTTCTCTTTCCTTCCTTCTCTCTCTTTCCTTCTTTCTTTTTTCAGTTTTTTTAACCAACTTTCTCCCTCTTGGTCTCCCTCCTCCTTTCAGAATAAAGATAGAGGGAAAACAAACAAACAAACAAAAAATAACAAAAAAATAAAGGTTTCCATTCATCTCCCCGGTTGAGCTGATGAGAGCGCGTACCCACCTTCAATTATTGGCTTCCTGGAAAGAAAGGTGTTTCCCAGCCCCCAAATTTGAGGCTGGGGTGAATAGAGACGGCGATAACGGGAAAGGGCGAGAAGCTGGGGGCTGGCTTTGAAGCTACGTTTGCATAACCTACACCTGGCTTTTGTTTCCATTGTGTGTTGGGGGGGAGTGAAGGGGCTCTTGGAGTGTAAGGTCTTGGAGTGGAAGCTGCTTGGGAAGAGCAAGCCTGTGTGGCACAAATCGGTGGCAAGGTGTTACGGAGACGCTGACTTCTAAAATGTATCAGTGTATTTATGCAGGGCTTTGTTGTAGACGGTGGTCAATTTAAAGACCGCATTTCCCCTTAACGGGTAAGCGTCTCCCTCCGCCTCCCACTTCCGACCACCGAGATTGCACGAAGCCCTGGAGACGATCCACAAAGTCCAGAAAGCGAGCCCCCCCTTTTTTGGTTTGCCTTATCAGATACAAATCCACTGGTGTGCATTGGGTGGGCTGGGGGGGGGTAGAGAGACACCTCGTGGGAGGCCCCAATTCATGGGAGGGGTCCCGGGAAAGCGGATCTGGATTTTTTTTTGAACTTTCAAAGAGTTCGTTTTGAGGTGCAGGTTTTGGGGAACGGAGGAGGCAGGGGTTTTGATTGTTTTTTTTTAAAGTTCTCCCCCCCCCCTTTTTTTTTTTTTGAAGAAGAGGAGTGGGGACGAATCAGACGTTAAATTCTTTTGCAAACATTCATGCCTAAGGAAGGGCTGGAACAAGCAGCCCGGCCGCCGGAACCGGTCGGACAGGTAGCGAGCTTGTTGACACCGTTATGTTGCAGGGCGCATGCTCGCTCCCAAGTTTCCTGGTGCCTTTTCTATTTCACCTTATGAAACTTTTTCCCCGGCGTGGTATCACCAGCGATTTAAGGCATAGGTGTCGCCGAGCCTGGAGGCTGGGAGTCGCCGAGAGTGCGGGGGAGAGGCCCGGGCCACACACCGCGGCCAGCGCGGGGCGGGAGGGGGTGGTAGTGGTGGTGGAGGAAAAGGGCAAGGCGAGGCGGGAAGGTGGGCTCCGGACGCCGGGAGCCCGGGGACCCAGCCGCCACCGCCGCCCCTAGCGGAGAAGCAGCCTGAGCCGCGGGAGAGGGGAGGGCGGAGGGGACCCACCGTCCAGAGAGGGGGATCCTCATCATGCCCAGAGTCTTCTTGGTGAAGAGGAGGAGCCCCGGAGTCTCGGTCCGCAGTTGGGATGAGCTCCCGGATGAGGAAAGGGCAGACACCTACATCCCAGGTGAGAGCCGCGCGGGGGCCGGGCCTGGAAGCGGGGTGCTCTGGGTGGGGGAAGGGGTGGCCGGGTTCGCTCTGCCTTTGGGCCAGAGTTGGGCTCCTCTCCTTCTTTCTGTTGGGGACCTTGGGTGGAGGGGGGTGGTGGGGAGGGGGGCGTCTTTCTGACGGAGGAAAGATGATGCAAATGAGCCTGAGAAACCTGGGCAACGCCGAGATCCCTTTCCCCCCTAGTAAGAGCCTCTAATTGCCCGGCGGCGGGACCGTTGGCTGCTGTGCGGGCCGGGGTGTCCCCAGGAAGGGGGTTGAAGGCCAGAAAGGGTTCACCCCAATCCCCCGTCTTCCAGGGAGTGCAGAAAGGGTCCGCCACGCACCCACCCCTACCCCTCGCCCCGCGGGCTGGCGGGGGGGGGGACGGACAGGTCAGATCCGCCTCTGCTCCAGGGGCGCAGAAGGACTTGGCACTCGGGGGAGCCTCCACCGCGCGTGGCCCTCGGGCTCGTGGGCACCGGTGTTGGGGAAGTAGGGGGGTGGTGACGATCGGCTCCCTAGCCCCACAGCTAGTTCTCGGGACCGATCTGGAGATTGACTCGCCTGCTCCCCTTCTCCACCGCTCCCCCCTCCCGCGGCCCAAAGACGTTGCCCACTTGGCGAGGTGCCCAGGTCCGGGGCGGGGCGGCGGTGGCACCACCCGCAGGTCAACACTGCCCTCGGGCTCCCGGACCTGACACCGCTAGCGTGGGTGTCAGGGGTGCGACCTCTTCCCTTCTCCCTCCCCCTCTCCCCACAGTGGGCTTGGGCTGCCTGCTCCAGGACCCCCCCGAGGACTGCCGCAGCGACGGCGGCAGCAGCAGCGGCGGCGGCAGCAGCAGCAGCAGCTCCGCGGAGCCGGGGAGCGCCGAGAGCAGCTCGTCGCCGCGCGCGCCCGAGTGTGAAACCCCCGAACCCCACCACGCCGAGAGCCCAGATGGACCTCTGGCGGCGAAGCAGCGCCCGGTTGCCAGGTCAAAAATCAAGGTAGGGTGTCGACTCTGCCCTCGCCGCCGCCGTCACCTGCGCCACGCCCTGGCGTCGGGCTCCCCGGGGCTGGCGCCCCTCCCTG